ATACTACACAGTATCGATTTTTTCCCCCACCCCTAATATCTTATATAAATGATGAAAGCATTAACCGGTGACTGTCATGGAGTTGTAGCACCCCACACAACCAAACATGTAGAGCATTGTGAATTATTTACTGCTTTATTAAATCTCTGCCACACAATCACCAAATCTTTGTGTAACATCAGTTTTACATTTCACATATCAACACAACTATGCATGTCAGGAAACCCTGGGTGTGTGGGTGTTCCCAGGCCTGAAAATCCAGTTTTTCATGCCGTACTTACTTACCAAGACAACAGCAACACAATGGCTAAAGGAAATTAACTGTAAAAATGTTGCACTGGTTTCCAGCAACTTTTGCTTCAGTTCCACTAATTTCACTTGCCACTCTTTCATTTCTTACCAGTCTCTGCCAGAAGTCTCTATATAATAAAATATGCCCCTTTTTTAAGACTTTCCTTATAAATCTGCATTAATGTTTTCCCCGTTATGACCAGCGACACAAAGTAGTCTGAATCATAAGTCGGCTTATCATGCAGAACGTAACAATGGCTATAAACAAAAAACACAGTAAGCACTTATTGGGAAAATGAAAATTGGGAAAATCAAATTGAGTTAGCTTTTATTGGAGGCACTGCACTGTCAGGCCTGATATTGGGTCCATTTTTATTTGCTGTCAACTTCATGTCTTACACACAGAACTGGAGTCAGCGCAGAGATGATCTGGTGCTCTTAGTTGGCCGATAACATCTCTCCATGCTCTCATGCATCCTAATTGCATTTCATGAGCGATTACCTCCAGCTCTTACGATGGGTGCCCTTACCACGAAGTTTGTAATGACACCTATTAGCTACTCAAAGCCACCGCATCCTTCTGTGAGTGTGTTGTACTTCTGAGGTCTGGCGAATATCAGATGTTTGTCACTTAATCACATCTCATCTTGAAGGGCAATAAGCAAACAGAAATGCTATATAAAATAACCTGTATTGTATAGTAAGCTTTTTGGCATGTTTCAAGCTATTGTCGGGAGGGTGGTTCAGTGATCTGTGTAATAACAACCACACATTTGAGCAAGATTCCCCCCAGGCTAATGGCTTTTTTGTTTGTTTTGTTTTTTCTAGCATACATATCTGCTGTGACTGAGAGAAAGGCTCCCTTGGGTAAAGAAAAGATGTTTGTGTGGCTTAACGGGCCACCCACTTAGCAAGTACAGACAAGGATAGGAGTTTCTGCTGAGCCATAATGTTAAGAGCAGAGTTCTTACAATTATATGATTTCTAATAAGTTTTTATTTTTGCTTAGTTTGGGATTTTTATTTTTAATTCACTTTAGTTTCACTTGGTTTCCAGAGCCGGTTCGCCCATTTCAGCTCAGTTTTTATTGGTTTTAGTCTTTTTAATTACTGTTGTATGACCGGCAGGTGTCAGAGGAAATATTTAGAGCAATCAGAGTAGGTAATACAATAAAAACCTTGAACTTTTTGAAAGCAGTTGACTCACAGTCTTGGAGTCTCAGTAAGTGCGTCCATCAAAGCCTCATCAGGCAAGTTGTAACAAAATGATATTAAACTAACAACTAAAACGTCCACTGTTTCCCTTTTATTTTGGTTAACTCAAATAAAGTGTTTATTTTTAGTTAACCGTAATAACCTCGGTTACGTGTTTGGAAAATGTCCTAGCCGATTGAGAACCAGAGAAGCTGAAGAAGAAGCACTGTCCTTTTTATTTTTTAAATAGGTCTGGATTAAATCTGTCATTTAAATATGCTATTTCTTACAGGAGCTTAACAACTACGTTTTGTATACATTGGTGACAAAGCAGCTTAATTTTGTTCTCATTTTATTGATGAATTAAGTCTGATTGTCCTCCGCTTTCTCTCCTTCTTACCCCCTTTCATCAACCTATCAACCTTTCTTCCTTCCCCCTCTCCCTCTGTCTTCAGGCAGGCAATCAAAGAGGAGGTGAGGAGGGAGCTGTCACCACGAGGTAGCACTATCTTCCCAGGAGCATCGGGCTTCCTGTAACATCATCCAACCAGGTTACGATCAGGGTCAAACAGAGACGGTCGAGGCTTAGTGGCAAGAGGAGGAGCAGGACTGGGTGGAACAATGTCTAGGATTGTGGTTCTGCATTTAGGGGTTTTTTTCTCTCTTTTCGCCCTTCGGCTTCAGCGCAGACTACTTCTGTAACCTGATATGACGTTGGACAATAAACACAACCCACAGTCATGCGACTCTGGGCACCTGACAGTCTCTGTTGGCCCTGAGTTTCTGCAGTTTCTCCTCAAGGTGATACAAAATGTGTGCGACACCCTCCGACTACGGCAGAATTTATTTGTAACAAGATTCAGGTGTTTTAACTTCAAAGTCTAGTATCGCTCTGAGTTGGGACAGAATACGATAACGCTCCTCTCTCTTGCTCTTACTCAATCCTACTTGCTTACTTGGCATGTTCACTACTTGAGTGGGGATTCCCCAATGTGCCTCTTTTTGTGGATAAATTGTCATCATTTCGGACACAAGCTCAAGATTTCAGATCAAACACAGCCAGGGCTGCGAGAGGGAGGAGGATTGGAGCTTAAAAATTACAGCAGAGACATTTTTATCGCTTAAACACCATTGCAAAGAGCAGCACAAGAGCCGGTACTGAAAGTTCTCATCTCGAATTTGTAAATCAATAATCGTCGTGAATTTCACAATGTGCTGTATTGATTTTTAACTATGGTGGAAGATGTCTGTCCACATGAATAAATTATTATACAAGCTGTGTTTCAAATGTAAAACATTACCACAAATGCATAGCTCTTTGTGGCAGCTCCTGTTTCGCAGATGCTATAAAAGATTGTACAAGAAAGCCCTAGAGCCCTAGAGTCCTAGTATGACTGTGCATGTTTTTAAATGATATCCAGAACTTTTCACTTCCAACACACAGGTAGCATGTACACTATAATTGAGGGGGGGAAAAAAACAACTTGAATTTGTGTTAATGTCGTAAATTCAGCTTTAGTTGCTTGTCTATTTGCACCGTTTGCTGTGTGGTTATGTGTATTTATGGTGAGACATTTCTGTTGCAGTGCATTTTCACTGTTAATATTCTTTCAAGCAGTTTTAAATAAATGTGTGACGAGTCACCAGTTTGCAAAATCACCCCAGTGCTTCTTTTACTTACCATGTTTTTCTCCATTGCTTTAAATTCAGTTCAGTTTATTTAAACAGCATCAGCTCACAGCAGCAGTCACCTCAAGGTGCTTTATAGTGTAAGGTAAAGATGCTACAGTAATAGAGAGAAACCCCAACAACGAGACAGACCCCCTATGAGCAAGCACTTGGTGACACTGGGAAGGAAAAAAAAACCCTTTTAACAGGAAGAAACCTCCAGAGATCTACCATGACTGGTTAAGGGTTAAGGGGAGGCGTACGGGGAAATTGCTTACCATCGGGCTGCTGTTATTGGCAGTCATTCATATCAAACATGTGACTGTAAGAGCTCTTGTGACTCATTCCTGCCAGACAGTGATCTGTCGCCTCCTGAGCTGCTGTCCTCTCCAAACCCTATTTTTAAGCCTTGTATCCGTCCCCGTACTTAAGTGAAATATTGACTGATGGCGTTATTGTTGTCATACGCTGTTGTGACGACAGCACAGGGAAGAAGTATGGGAAAACGGTACAATAGGATGGGTCCTTGCCCTTTAGGGAACATGTCATTCCTGCCCCTGAGCTACACAACATACTAGAGTCCATGACAAATAACACAGAATGAAGTCCACTTGTGTCAAGATATTGGCAGGACTTTATTTAATAACACAGATGGTCAGTCCACCTCTGGAATATAAAGGCTGTTGAAAGATAGATTTGGATGGGAATTCCTTATACCCCTTCCATGCTGTCTCCTGAGAGTTGACCGATCCAGCTGCGAATGCTGCCAGCGAGGAGGAGCACAATGCAAGGAAATGGACCGCACATGACAGACTGACGCACTGTCGCTGCCAGGTGTAACCCCGAAAGCTTCACTCCTGCTGGAACCGACCAGCTGCAATTACAACAGAGTGGAAGCTGCTGCTCTTTATCATAACAAAAGCATTGATAAAAACGGGGGGGGGGGGTAACAGCTAAGGAAAGCTACCAGATGGAAACTGTGGTGACATGTCCAAGGTCCAAGAACGTTCAACATTTTCAATATAGTTGTTCACAACAGGTTCAGTAATAATAATGAATAATGTACTTTAAAAAAAACATATATATATATAGTGACAAAGTTTTTTTTTTTTTTAAATTTGTGCTTAAAAAAGTCCCACTTCTGCTACTAAACAGCCCTATATGACATCAGGATCACCGGCACCCTCTTTAGTTGTGTTTATCAGCAGGGAACCATGTGCCATGTGCACTGCTGATAAAGGAGTGACGCCAGCCAAGAAGGGGCTGCATCCCAGTGTCTCCCCCACCTCCTGCTTCCTCCTGTCCCATTCCTTTGAACACATGCGTGAAGTCAAGCCCCGCAGCTGCTCTGTTAAAGACATGAAGCTCTCTGTTTTTGTTGTATTCGATTTATTTGACACAGGATTAGAAGAGATGAGATATTAACAGAAACATTCATACCAAACATTGTAATGTCCAAAGGACAAAGTGTGAATCAAACAGACTAAAAAATGAATGACATGTTTAACCTTTGGGAATTTCCTGTGAAACCAGTTAAACTTTTGTTATTGTGTATACACAGGATCAAATCCCTGCTGCAGGTTTTCAAGGATGCTTTAAATCTCACTCTCTGATATCTGCAGTCACCCAGAAAGACCTGTCTGTTGGTGACTTTAGCATTTCTGGATTTGTGCATGAGGGTCTATTTTTTAAGATTGCAAACAGTATTTGACACACAAAAAAAATCTCACCTTCTTAACCTTTCAACAAATCTTTTTCAATGGTTTACTCATTTACCCATTTACAAACACCAATGGCAGATAAGAGGCCGCTCGAGGTGCTGGCCTACCATCGAGAAGGTCTTGAGTTTACAGAGTGTCTTTATCAAGAAGGAGGTAGGCACGGGATTAGTGACTCATACCAGCTGAAAAGTACCACTGAGTGTTTTTTCACAGTTTGGCTAGAGTAATAAACCCATCACGCTAAGATTACAGCGAGGCAGAGTCGAGGCTCAGCTCAAACTTTGACCTTGAAAACAGCAGTTTAAAAAAAAAATCACACCAAGTATATAATTAATATCATTCAGTCAGCTTTCTCTTTGGTATGCTTCCGTAGGTCTAAATGAGTCATGTATTTTAACCAAAACAGGAGGTGCATCAGCACTAATACGGTGTTAGTGGAAACTTTTGTCAGCAAAATCAGCAAAACATGGAAAAAACCGTAGAGTGAAATGAATCTGACCTTATTTTAGTGTTTACTGAGCCTAATGAAGTCTGGTTGGCTATAAAGGGGAGCCCAGTGTTTACTTGTAGCCATGGCTGAAAGTGGCATTTATAACATGGCTTGGTGACACCTCCTTTGTTCTATTCTTTCTTAGAGAGAAAGGTCCTCAAGTGATGACTTGAGTGCAAAAAAGAAGGAAAGAAAAGAAACAATCTCCTTAGGATACCTTTTTCTTGTCCAGCAGTAAATTCTTTCATGGTGACCGAGGAGCTTGGAGTTGTATTTAAGAGGAAGAAGACATATTTTCCTAAGCATGTTCATTAGTGTTAGTTAGTTGACAAAGTAACGACAGACCAAAGTCCCTCAGGTGTTAAACTTCTCCTTCCCCAAACCCTACTGCCAGTTTTTTTTTCTTTATTTTGTATTAAGAATATCCTTTTCTCATCCACTCAACTTCTCAGGCCTTTCAGCTCAACTCTTTCTAATTCCTCCATAAGCAGAATTAGACTCAAGTCATAAAGGAGTCGGCAAAGATTTTTGACAATTACCGTCGTTGGTGGTTGTCGACGTGAGGGACAGATATGAAAAGGGCGGGTCAAACTGTGTAAGTTTACCAGATGAGGGCAAAGATACGTTACGTTTTCGTGGCTAATGAAACTTAATGGTGTTCTGATAAATGAGCACCGGTGTGCCAGGAAGTAGATTCAATCTACTCCAGCAATTATTAACCCTTTCAACTCTGGCCTTAATCTTTCTTTGAGAACATTATATTTGCTTTCAGATGGACTAATCATCCCTGCAAGCTCTTTATATCTAGATCATGTAGCGTCTTTTCTTTTCACATTTTACTGGTATTAGATTGTTCAGTGATC